AGGTTGAGGGCTTGTTTGTTGAACCGCACCTTTCCGAGGTTGCCCGTCCTGTCTTTGAAGCTCTCGTATCGGGGCTTAGGGTTTAGGGTTTAGGGTTCAGGATTTAGGGTTCAGGGCTTAGGGGCTAAGGTACACACGACCGGCCCCACTCGTTAGGAACTGACCCCCGCACACCTTGCACTCTATGCAGACTAAGCTGCGAAAGGCAACTGCGTCGCCCAGATGTCCACCAGTACAATGCAGGGTCACCAGGAACACAGGTGACTCTGGCGACTTCCCAGCGCGGAATAGGTCCAGCCTCCGCAGCCACAAGCCCGAACCCTCAGAACCTTCCCAAGCCCTAAACCCGAAACCCTAAACCCTAAATCCTAAACCCTAAGCCCTAAGCACAAAACCCTAAACCCTAAACCCTAAACCCTAAACCCTAAACCCTAAACCCTAAACCCTAAACCCTTGCCACCCTGAACTCTGGGCACCACCAGGAAAGCGGAAGCTGCAGGCAGGCGGCACGGGGAGAAGGTTGGGATGGGCGCCGGCTTCCTGCCACAAGGCATACAACAGGGTTTAGGGTTTAGGGTTTAGGGTTTGGGTTTAGGGTTTAGGGATGGGCACCGGCTTCCTGCCACAAGGAATACAATCGGGTTGGCCATGACTATAGCACAGACGATAACAAAATACCACCAAACACATCATAAGAGTTTAGGGTTTAGTTAGGTCTAATTTAGGAATCATACGGACATAAAAACTCATTAAAAAAACAAAAAAAGCTTTTGGAAGTTTGTAAGGTGCAGGGGCTAGGAAACCCCTTTAATACACGCGACTCTAAACTGCACACAAACTACGACACTCCATACCATCAACCCTAAACCCCAAACCCCAAACCCCAAACCCCAAACCCCAAACCCCAAACCCCAAACCCCAAACCCCAAACCCCAAACCCCAAACCCCAAACCCCAAACCCTAAACCCTAAACCCTAAACCCTAAACCCTAAACCCAAACCCTAAACCCTAAACCCCAAACCCCAAACCCCAAACCCTAAACCCTAAACCCCTCCCTTCCGTGGTCCTGCAGCCCACGCAGCACCAGCACATCCTCCTCGGCCACCTCCAGCCTCTGCTGCGGGGTTTAGGGTTGAGGGTTGAGGGTTGAGGGTTGAGGGTTGAGGGTTGAGGGTTGAGGGTTGAGGGTTGAGGGTTGAGGGTTGAGGGTTGAGGGTTGAGGGTTGAGGGTTGAGGGTTAGTCTTTGGGGTTCAGGGTTGATGATGAGGGCAGCGGGACGCAGAGCAGTGAGACTTAGAGGGATCTGGGGGCGCAGAGTTTGTCTTGGGCCTCCAGGTCTTCGGGCTTCGGACGTGGAGAACGGGGTATCGATGGGATAAACTGCACCTCGAACCGCCGAAAATCTGGGCCCTTGGCAAAAGGAACCCCAAACCCCCCAACCCAAACCCTGAAAAGCCCAAACCCTACATCCCAAAGTCTTGGCACCTGCGCAGAGTACGAAGTATCTACGTCTAACCCCTTTATAGCTACCCATGAGACCAGCTGTGCAGTGAATAGAGGGAAATTGGGGTTGCTGTCGGGTTTAGGCTTCAGCTTTAGGGGATTTTCACAGGAAATCCCGTCGAGTTCGGAGCTTGAGGTTTAAGGGGTCCTGAGCGCATTTCCCAGGAGATCTCTCAAGCCACCCACAAGAAGCGTCAACAAAAACAAGCACCTCGGACAAAAATCCCGAATCTGAATCTAAAACCCCAGAACCTTCAAAGTAGCCCTAACGACTCAACCCCTGAACCTTTACCACTTAAAACCATAAATTCCTGACCTTGGGCCTCCGTAAACACCCTTAATATGAAGCACCCTTAAACACCCTTAAACACCCTTAAGCACCCTTAAGCACCCTTGAACACCCTAAATCCCTTAAACACCCTCAAACCCCCTTGAATACCCTTAAACCCCCTTCACCACCCGTAAACCCCCCTTAAATCCCAAAGATGTCCCAAAGCACCCTGAACCCTAAAACCATAACACCCCGTAAGCACCACTCAAAACCCTTAACCCCAAACCTTAAGCTGTAAACCCTAAACCCTAAACCCTAAACCCTTAACCAAAAACCCTAAAACCCTAAACCCTAAACCCTAAACCCTAAACCCCCCTTCAAATCTCCGGAGGCATCTCCGACGCCGAGGCGCACCACGCGGCCCGTGCCAAACTCCGCTGCTGGGCTGCGGCTCTTCCGCTCGTGCCAGGCGTAGCCTTTAGGGTTTAGGGTTTAGGGTTTAGGGTTTGGGGTTTGGGGTTTAGGGTCTAGGGTATAGGGTCTAGGCCGAGTTTACAGTACGTGGAGGTTCATGGGCAGGTTCCTGTAAAGAACCGGCCTGGGTTGAAAGGCGTAGAACTTAGAAGCACGGTTATAACGAATTTGGGGCTTTAAGTACCCATGAACCTCCAAGTAGTTCTTAGGGGCTCACAGAGGGTTCATAATGGGCTTACAACGAGTTTATGAAGGTTTTTTCCCGGGTTTATGAGGCGGTTGCAAAGTGATAGCGAGGGTTTTGGCAAGGGTTTTGCAAGGGTGTCGAAAGGCCTTACTCACTCCCTCACTCGATCGCTTGCTCACACACACACTCTCTCTCTCTCTCTCTCTATCTCTCTCTCTCTCTCTCTCTCTCTCCCTCTCTCTCTCGACATGAGTGAGTATGTCACAGAGCGCGCCGAAACGATCAGCCAGAACCAACTCTGGCCCTGAGCCTAGTTCTCTTCTGCTTGCGGTGTCTGCAATGCCGCCAGAACCTTGCATTAGGGCCTAAACCCAAAAACCTGCATAAGCGTGATAAAGCATCTAGCTCAATTCATAAAGCTCTGAATCTTAAGGCTTAGGCTCCCTATCCCCTCCCCAACGACTGCTGTTCATAAAAATGCACTGCTCAGTGGCAACACAGATTCCGTCATCTTAACTGTGTAGACTGAATACTTGGTGCCATTTCGTCTTGCTCAGGCTAGCTTAGGATATATTCATGTATGTGGCGGGACGGGCCTTGCACTGGAGAGTCAGAAGGGGGAACTTTCCCGACACGAAGATTCGCCACCTGCGTGCACTGTTCCAAACCTGCGCCCAAAGTTCAAAACCTCCATGCAAACTAACGACGTGCTGTCACGCTTGTCTAGACTTGGAGGATACAGGGGACGCGAAGTAGAGCAGAGCTGGTCTGTGAAGGAGCTATGGCACCGGAACACCCCTGCACCAGTACCTAATATAGGGGCGGGGCCTTAAAAATTAGAACAGGGTTTTGGGGGTTATTTGAGGATATTTATAAAGGGACCCTAGGAATACTATACAGTAATTCTTCCGACCCCTATAGTAGAGAACCCAATGCCCCTTCATACTTGGATCCGTATTGCAACTCCTCAACTACGGGAGCTTGGGTGCTCCGGGTTGTTCAAAATGGCCGACCTTGCGGATATTGGGGACGTGCTCTCAGGGCATGCTGTGGTGCGACGAACGTCACCGTCGTTCAGCCGCCCTAAACCCTAAACTCTAAACCCGAAACCCGAAACCCCAAACCGAACATGCCTACTTCACCCGATACACCCGCACCACTCCGGCGCTCAAAAGTAACTCCGTCAGAACCCCAAAGCTACTTCAAGCAGGCTGTGATCACGTGAGTCACAAGCCCCCAAGTACAGCCTTTTGGGGATTCTTAAGGAAAAAAACATTTGGAGCCACCCAGACTTGCGTGTAGTGTTTCGGACCACCAGAGCGCAGGCTTCAAGCCTTTTGTTCTGGGTAGGACCCTTAGGGCTTAGACCCATAGGGCCTAGGGACCCTTAGGGCCTTAGGGCTTAGGGACCTTTCTGGCGCAGGGACCTTAGGGCTTAGGGGATCCCTGTAGGGTTTAGGGACCCTAACCCGCAAAGGCCGCAAAACCCTAAGCTAGGGGCTCTTGCACTTCATGTTTCAGGCCACCGATACGAGCACCGAAGGGCTCCTACTTCCGACTCAACCTAACTTTCTAGGGTTTAGGGTTTGGGGTTAGGGTCTGGGGTTTAGGGTTTGGGGTTTAGGGTTGAGGGTTTGGGGTTTAGGGTTGAGGGTTTGGGGTTTAGGGTTGAGGGTTTGGGGTTTACGGCTTAAGGGTTTAGGTTTAGGGTTTGGGGTTTAGGGTTTAGGGATTTAGGCTCCTGACACTGGCGCCTCAAACGGCAGGCGCTGAGCGGCAGAGGGGTTCCGCAGGCTCTGGCCCATCTCGCTTTTGTGGGAAGCTGATCAGAAAGGAGGGTACGGGGGGTTCTCGGAGCCTCTTAGGGTTTTGGGGGGGGGGGGGGCTATTCTAGCATAGCTATAAAGGGACCTTAAGGGAATACTACTGCTAGTTATCCTGTATTTCTGCCTAAGCAACCTGAAAACCCTGAACCCTACACTTGGGCTTGCAACAGCTGCCACTTCCTTGGCGCGGGTTCCGAGGTTCAGGGCACTCAGGCCGCAGGGTCTAGGGTCTCAGTGTTTATGCCCTAAAGGCTTTAGTTTACGGATGAAGCTTCGGGCTTAAGGTTCCCTAAACCCAAAGCCATCTTTCTCCAAACCTAAACCCTAAACCCTAAACCCTAAACCCCAAACCCTAAACCCTAAACCCTGAGCCATCTTTCGCTCAACAGAGAACGCAGGATAGCGGTGAAGCTACGCTGCGAGGTGCGCCGGAGCCCACGTGCGTGCTGGACATGGGGTTTAGGGTTTAGGGTTTAGGGCTTAGGGCTTAGGGTGTAGGGTTTAGGGTTTAGGGTTTAGGGTTTAGGGTTTTTCAGGTTTTAGGGTTTAGGGTTTAGGGTTTAGGGTTTAGGGTTTAGGGTTTAGCATTTAGGGTTTGGGGTTTGGGGTTTAGGGTTTAGAGTCTAGAGTTTGGGGTCAGGGTTTAGGGTTGAGGGCTTCTGTGAGCTCCTTTGACTTGACGGCTGGAGTGTTTCGACTGAGACCTTGACAGTCGCACCGGCTGCGTGAGGCCCCGACAGGATGTAGCTGTCGTGCAAAGTGAGAAACACCTCAATGCATGCGGTTTAGGGTTTAGGCTTTAGGGTTTAGGGTTTAGGGTCTAGGGTTTAGGGTTTAGGGTTTAGGGTTTAGGGTTTAGGGTTTACAGTTTAGGGTTTAGGGTTAAGGGTTAAGGGTTGAGGGTGTAGGGTTTAGGGTTTGGGGTTGTTGGAAACACCCCCAGGGGGTTTAGGGCCGATTTGGGGGTGCTGGGTTTTGGGCTCAAGGTTCAAGGCTTAGGCCAAAGGTCTTTCCTGAGCACATTCCCAGACCCTCCAAAATCCTTTTGATGCCGGAACTGAGGGGAACCCAAACATATCTGACGATTCTCATGCCGGTGGCCGGATCAGAAGTTATGACTTTGCGCCATCATGTAGCAGCGAATCCAGAAACTTAGGCCAAGGGGGGGCTGAAGACGATGTCCATGGTTCAAGAACTACGGGTAGCAAACAATGAAGCAATGTCTAAAGCTCCGGCTGCACAATCATTCCTGAGCACGTTTTGCTTAGAATTCAGGGCTGCCCTCTCTCATGGGGGAAGGCAACCCCTACACCCCAAACCCTAAACCCCAAAAAAGGGGAACATGAATCCGGCGTCTGCGCGGCACCCGAACTCATGGCTCCCTCCGGCTGATATCTGAAACTGAGCTGCCAGCTTTTTGATTGGAAGGGTGCCACTCGACTGCCTTGGCCACAGAGTGGGTTTAGGGTTTGGGTTTAGGGTTCGTGTTGCGGGTTTCGGGTCTAGGGTTTAGGCCCCCCCCCCTCCGCTCTGTGTGTAGGGAATGTAACCTAGCTTCCCCAATAACTCCTGAAAAATACAGGTACCCTCTGTCTTAATACTCAGTTTGAATAAGGAGCCCCAGTACTACTGGGGGACCCAGGAAAAGGTGCCACTCCATCTCATTGCCCGCCAAAACAAGGCCCTCGTGAAAATTTCCTGGCTTATGCGCAAACCTGAACCCTAAACCCTAAACCCTGAACCCGAAGCCCTAAACCCTAAACCCTGAACCCGAAACCCCAAACCCTGAACCCTTAACCCGACTGTCCACACGTGGCGGGAGCATCTAGTTTTGAGGAGTGGGCCCTCGGCGCGCTCTCCTCGAAGGTCAGCAGCATCAACGGGCCCGGCTGTGGCAGCCTCTTGGTTTAGGGTCTAGGGTTTAGGGGTTAGGATTCAGGGTTTAGGGTTTAGGGTTTAGGGTTTAGGGTTTAGGGTTCAGGGTTTAGGCTTTAGGGTTTAGGGTTTAGGGTTTAGGGTTTAGGGTTTAGGGTTTAGGGTTTAGGGCTTAGGGCTTAGGGCTTAGGGTTTATAGAAACTTTTTGGATATCAGGTTAGGGGGCAGGGGGGAGGGGGGGGGGGGGAGGGGGTCCCAATAAGTTTTGAGCGAAAATTTTGCGCGAAAGTTTTTGGGGGTCCCGATAAGTTCTGAGCGAAAGTGTTGAGCGAAAGTGTTGAGCGAAAGCTTCTGTTTTAGAATCTAATTTGTGGCATTGGCTTTCCGGCCCTGGCTGGCCTTCTGGGATTCTTTGGGTGGGAATGCCCCAGAGTTTTAAGTAACTAGAGCATTTGGCCTCCCAGGCGCTGTGGATGAATGTACTTAACCTCTGCTTGTCAGCTGTTTAGACAAACCTGGGAAAATTCTGGATGATACCGCATACAATTTCAATTTCTTTTGTCTTGAGGGTTAAGGTTTAGGGTTTCGGGTTACCCAGGCGAGCTGAAAGAAAAAAGTCTGCCCGCACCAGCTTATGTGCAATGGGTTTCTGAGCGATCCTAAAGCCCGAAACCCTAATCTCTGAACACCCTAAACCCGAAATCCTAAACCCTAAACCCTACAACCCTAAAACCCTAAACCCTAAACCCTACAACCCTAAGACCCTAAACTCTAAAACATACAAGTGAAGGCTAAAAGTTGAAGCTGTCGGCTCAGGGCTTTAAGCTTCGGAGGGCTTTAAGCTTCAGAGGGCTTTCGCAGGATTAGGGCTTCGGTCTTTTAGGGTTTTAGGGTTTAGGGTTTAGGGTTTAGGGTTTAGGGTTTAGGGTTTAGGGTTTAGGGTTTAGGGTTTAGGGTTTTGGGGTGTTGGGGTTTGGGGTTTTTGGGATTTGGAGTTTTTGGGGTTTGGGGTTTTGAGGTTTAGGGCTTTCAGGTTGTAGAGGATTCAAGGGCGACCACGGCGATTTTGAAAAAGTCGTTGGCCTGCGCCGCTTCATGACGCAAAAGGGTTTTGCGTTCAGGGTTTGATGTCATGTTTGCGGGTTCCGGAGAAGGCTCTGGATGATAATGGGAACCCCAAAGCCTAAACCCTAAACACTAAACACTAGACCCTAAACCCTAAACCAACACTAGACCCTAAACCCTAAACCCTAAACCCTAAACCCTGAACCCTGAACCCTGAACCCTGAACCCTAAACCCTAAACCCTAAACCCTAAACCCTAAACCCTAACCCAATGGAGACCTGAGAGAACTGCCCACATGCAAACACCCTGCCTGTGCACCTCCACTCTCGAGCTGTCGAAGGCCTTCGCGAGATTTGGGTACGCGGTTTAGGGTTTGGGGTTTAGGGTTTAGGGTTCACGGTTTACGGTTTAGTGTTTAGGGTTTAGGGAATTTAGGGTTTAGGCTTTAGGGTTTAGGGATTAGGGAGTTTAGGGTTTTTTGCTTAGGGGTTCGGGTTTAGGGTGCTCGAGAAGGGTCTCTCGGGTTCAGGGTAGCTGCAACTCACGGGCAGCTGCAACGACTAGAAGTTTATCCGGCCAGCTTCATAATTGCCAGGCAGGAGTGCGGGATGTCTATGTAAGCCTTATTTCAGGCGCTGCTCCAGCCCCTTGTAACTCTAAACCCTAAACCCAAAACCCAAAACCCTAAACCCTAAGCCCTAACCCCTAAGCCCTAAGCCTCAAGCCCTAAACCCTAAACCCTAAGCCCAGCCCACACAAACACCTCAGCCTGAAGTCCCCTTTGCTTAGGGCCCCCACCACCAGCAGGTTGTGGTCCTGGCCTTGGTAGCCCAGCAATCATACTAAAACAAGGGCACCCTTTCTATGGTTTAGGGTTTAGGGTTTAGGGTTTAGGGTTTAGGGTTTAGGGTTTAGGGTTTGGGGTTGGGGTTTGGGGTTTGGGGTTTGGGGATTGGGGTTTGGGGTTTGGGGTTTAGGGTTTGGGGTTTGGGGTTTGGGGTTTGAGGTTTAGGGTTTAGGGTTTAGGGTTTCTGGGCTGAGCTACCTTATCAGGCGACCAAGAACCAGAAAGAAACAGGGTGCAAAAGGGCACCTACGGGGCTACCAAGTTGCTGTTGGTTAGTAGGGAATGGGGGAATGAGGTACCCTATATAATCCTTTAAAGGGTATATTTTCGCGGGATATAGGGTACCCTCATTCCCTCACTCCCTACTAACCACCACTACTATTTGCTTAAGAACCCCAAAAATATATAACAACAATCCCTATCTTGCCCTTATAAGGAATAATTAACATTTTCCATTTTTGGGGGGGGGGTGCTTAAGCAAATAGTAGAACAGCAAGCCAAGTTGCAATTCAAGGCAAGGTCCACAACCCTGGCATGCGAGGCGATGCGGGTGACCTAGGCGGAAGCTCGGGATGCTGGCGCTTTGTTTGTTTGGTCTTGCCCCTTTTTGGTTTTTGTTTTTTAAATGGGGGTTTAGGGTTAGGGTTTAGGGTTTAGGGTTTAGGCGTTAGAGTTTAGGGTTCCGGGTTTCGGGCTTAGCGCTTAGGGTTTTGGGCTTGAGGGTTCCGGAATGCTTGAGGCTCAGGGCTTTGGGGGTGTGTGGGGTTCTTCTTGAAATGTTCTTCATGAAAAAACATGTTCTTCTTGAAAGGGCTGGTGAAGGAAACTGAGCAGTTCACCGCCTTGGGGCTTCTTGGCCACCGGAGCTGCTTGTTCCAAGCATACAAAATGACATTTCTGCCTTGAGGGCTAACGGCTTAATACAGGGGCCTGAATACTTAGAACAGGGTTTTGGGGGTTGTTATAGTATAATCATAAAGGAACCCTAAGGGAAGAGTGCTAGTAATTATTCCTTTAGGGTGGTTATTATAGCATAATTATAAAGGAACCCTAAGGGAAAAATAATAGTAGCAATTATTCCAACCCCTATATTACCCAGCTGCTTGTAGCCCTAAACCCTAAACCCTAAACCCTAAACCCTAAACCCTAAACCCTAAACCCTAAACCCTAAACCCTAAACCCTAAACCCTAAACCCTAAACCCTAAACCCTAAACCCTAAACCCTAACCCTAAAGGGGTCGGGTCTGCGATTCTTGGGGCTCTCAGCGCCCAACCCTAGGCCCAAAATCCGCCCATCCCAACTTTGGTGGATTGGATTTCCGGGCCCCACGAAACTTGGTTTGGGGTTTGGGGTTTAGGGTTTAGGGTTTAGGGTTTGGGGTTTCGGGTTTAGGGTTTAGGGTTGAGGGTTTAGGGTTTAGGGTTTAGGGTTTAGGGTTTAGGGTTTAGGGTTTAGGGTTTAGGGTTTAGGGTTTAGGGTTTAGGGTTTAGGGTTTAGGGTTTAGGAACTTACCTTTAAACTGAACCCTAACCCTAATCCCTACGATTTCTGTGGGTTACAGAGGCTTGCATGGGGATTGGGGTCAGTAGACCTTTAGACACATGTTTCCAAGTCCCCAAAACCCTCAAGCCTGAACCCTCAGCCCTGAACCCTAAACCCCAAACCCTAAACCCCAAACCCCAAACCCTAAACCCCAAACCCCAAACCCCAAACCAAAACCCCAAACCCTAAATCCTAAACCCCAAACCCTAAACCCTAAACCCCAAACCCTAAACCCTAAACCCTGAACCCTGATTCAGCGCTTGGAGACCGGTGTCAAGGAGGTCGCGGAGAGGATTTCGACCTGGGCACCTGCCACCCAGGAGCCCTCCAAGAGCTCTTGGGGTTTAGGGTTTAGGGTTTGGGGTTTGGGGTTTGGGGTTTAGGGTTTAGGGTTTGGGGTTTGGGGTTTGGGGTTTGGGGTTTCGGGTTTCGGGTTGGGGTTGAGGGTTTTAGGGCTTGTGGTGTTCAAGGCATTGGAGGTGCGGTGGGTTCCGGGGTGTTCAGGCTGGGTGCGGGGGTTTTGAAGATTTGGTTTGAGGCATACCCCTGAACCCTAAACCGCCCTAAACCCTAAACCCTAAACAAAGCAGGCCTTCACCGTCCGCGCACCTGTAGCAGATGTACTGGCCATTGGCCGCCATGCGCGATGCCTCGGTGGGCCGCAACCTGTACTCCCCTCAAAAGTTTACTGTTCATATTCCTAAATCTTAAGAACAAGTAATTCCTAAGGGGGCTATAGCGCCAGGGCTTAGGGCTTTGGGCTTTAGAGTTCCGGGCCCAGGGTCTTCAGCTTCTGCTCCGGTCAACCCCCCAAAACCCCCCCCCCAAAGCCCCCAAAGCCCCCCAAAACCCCCAAACCCCCAAAGCCCCCCAAAACCCCTCAAAACCCCTCAAAACCCTTCAAAACCCCCCAAAACCCCCCAAAACCCCCCAAAACCCCCCAAAACCCCCCAAAACCCCCCAAAACCCCCCAAAACCCCCCAAAACCCCCCAAAACCCCCCAAAACCCCCCAAAACCCCCCAAAACCCCCCAAAACCCCCCAAAACCCCCCAAAACCCACCTGAACCTCCCTGAACGCCCCAACTCCCCCACCACTTGAGTGCCCGACACCCAGCGCCACACTGGCCGCCACCGCTGCGCGGGCGGGCGCTAGCCGGTGAGCGGAGACACCGAGCCCAAGCCCGCTCCCAATCTCCGAAGGCGGTGATCCTGCACTAGGGCTTAGGGTTTAGGGCTTAGGGCTTAGGGCTTAGGGCTTAGGGCTTAGGGCTTAGGGCTTAGGGCTTAGGGCTTAGGGCTTAGGGCTTAGGGCTTAGGGCTTAGGGCTTCGGGCTTAGGATTTAGGATTTAGGATTTAGGGTTTAGGGCCACGAGGACCTCACCTGAAGCCCCTGGGCCAACGTAGGGCCTCCGCACACCCCGCTTCACACCAACAGTCTGCAAGACGAGCCTTAGCTCAAGTCCAGCCTCCCATCTATCCGCAACACCCTAAGCCCTATCCTAGATTTAGGGCTTAGGGTTTAGGACTTAAGGGTGAAGATTCAAGGTTTAGGGCTTTGGGTTTAGGGTTTAAGCCCCCCTAAACCCCTAACAAATTCCAGCCCAAGCTGCCCTCCCCGCAACCTCCGTGTTCGGCCTCCTGCAAGTCGGAGGTCTTCCCCCGAGAACAGCACTTTCCGGCACTTGGGCAGCTGGAATTGGCCATCGACCAAGGCGACGTTCTGGGCCTCCGGCCATGTCAGGACCCTAAACCCCAAACCCTAAACCCTAAACCCTAAACCCTTGACAGGATCCTCTTAACCCCAAAGCGAAGGGGGGAAAGATGAACTATACCCAGGTCCTGCACAGGGCCATGTCTGAACCTCAAGGCCCTGTCTTCAGGCTTTATGCTTCGCGGCTTAACATCCCGAGTAGCCTACACTGCCATAGTGCCATCGCGGCAACACACCACGCCTACTGCTGAGGGCGGCGTGACAAACAATCAAACAGGTTTATGATTCGCGCGATTGAAAAAACAGATTGGGGCATGGGGTGGGCCACCAACCGCCTGTGGTGCTTATGATCCAAGATGGGCATCTTCTTTCTCGCTCTCTCTCTCTCTCTCTCTCTCTCTCCCTCTCTCTCTCGCTCTCTCACTCTCTCTCCAAGAACTACTTCTTGCGCTTCTTGCTAAATTTCGTATCAACATGGGAGGCAGAACTCATCGTAGCTCATTTCAGTATGGACGCCATCATGAAAACGCAAACCCTAAACCCCTAAACCCCTAAACCCTAAACCCTAAACCCGAAACCCTAAACCCTAAACCCTGAGTCTGCGACTACCACTCTCCCGTCTCAGGCCGCGACCGCCTCCAACACAGGGGCCGGCACGTCGACCGGGGCCGGAGCCTCCTGCGAGTTGAGGGTTTAGGGTTTAGGGTTTCGAGTTTCGGGTGTAGGGTTTAGGGTTTAGGAGTAGAGTAGTTTAGGGCTTTGGAGTAGTTTCGGGTTGGAAGTTTTTGGGTTGAGAGGGGTTTAGGGCTTCGGGTTTAGGGTTGGGAGTTTAGGAGTTTAAGGAACGACTGCTTGGGGGCTTAAGGGCTGAGGGATTAGGGTTTAAGGGTTGAGGGTTTAAGGGCTTAAGGGTTGAGGGCTGAGGGTTGCAGGTTTAGCGTCGAAGGTTGAGGGTTAAAGCGGTTTCTTGGCCAATGTCGATGATTTTTCCCAGACATGATGCTCACACAAGTTTCGGAGTTGGGGGGTTAGGGTCCAGGGTTCAGCGGTTTAGGTTTTCACGTTGACCAGCAGGTGACACGCTTTCGGCCTTTGAGTGCTTTCAAGAAGTCTCTCTTGGACGTGTTATCAAGCTAAACCCTAACCCCTAAACCCCTAAACCCTAAACCCTAAACCCTAAACGCTAAACCCTAAACCCTAAACCCTAAACCCTGAACCCTAAACCCTAAACCTGAACCCTGAGCCCTAAACCCTGATGCCTGCAGCTTAGCTGTGCTCATGAGCGTGGGCGTGCCGCTGTCCGCCTTGCCTGCAAGGGTTGCGTTGAGGGAAGGGGGCTTACTTGGAGGTTCAGGATTATTTAGGGTTTAGGGTTTAGGGTTTAGGGTTTAGGGTTTCGGGTTTCGGGTTTAGGGTTTAGGCTTTAGGGTTTAGGGTTTAGGGTTTAGGGTTTAGGGTTTAGGGTTTTATAACCTACTTAGGGAACTTAGGGGCTTATAAGTACAGCTACAATGTGGGCTATATAAGTGCCCATGAACCTCCAAGTCCGGAGGGCTCCGGCCCTGAGATTCCCAAGTGCCACCAAGGTTCAGGGTTTAGGGTTTAGGGTTTAGGGTTTAGGGTTTAGGGTTTAGGGTTTAGGGTTCAGGGTTTAGGGTGGCAAGCTTGCGACAAAAGCAACGACCTTAAACCCCACAAGCCCTAAACGTTTAGGCCAGGACCTGAAACGTCTTGCCGTGCTTCGTTCGAAGCTTCTTTTCGGAGGTTGATGAAATCTATGAATGCCTTACATCCCATTCCTGGCGCGTCTATGGAGGAAGTCCTCGATTCTGAACATGTGGCCAGGGATGCGTTGCTGGCAATAGAGGGGTTTCGGGTTTAGGGTTTAGGGTTTAGGGTTTCGGGCTTAGAGGCAGAATTCACACACAGGCCTACTTTGTTTGGGCGCTTGACAGTGCGGCGGTATGTCTGGGCGGAAGGCAACCCCAGACGCCAACCCCCCACCCCCCCCCCCGGACCCTAAACCTGAGCCGTAGATGCCGAACCCTAAACCCTTAAACCCTTTAAACCCTTTAAACCCTTTAAACCCTTTAAACCCTTTAAACCCTTCAAAAACTTCAAACCCTTCAAACCCTTAAACCCTTTAAACCCTTCAAACCCTTAACCCTTAAAACCCTTTAAACCCTCAAACTGGCCTCCAACGTCGGGCCCCTCCTGCCATGGAGGCTTTCCCGAGACATCGAAGCGGCGCGCCCCAGGATTTGAAGGGTATAGGGTCTGTCTTTTGTCCCCAAACCTGGTTGAAACTGTAGACGAAGGTTTTTTCATGAAGACATGGAGAAGGGCCTCAACCATTTCCAAAATACGTGAAACAGCGGAAATGATTTCACGCAGTTCAACCAAGGTTGGAATGCTTGATATGGAAAATCGACAGCCCCGGGATTTGAAATATCTGAAACGGTTGCATTTAACACCACCCAAACCCGAAGCTTGCGCGAGTTAAACTCCAAACCTCTCCTCACCATCCCCCCCCCCTCCCGTGTTTGGAATTCGACCATTCAGCCTCTCTTGAAATGATTGAAACGGTGATCCGAGACAGAATCTGTAGCATCATACAGACAGAGAGAGACAGAAGGAGACAGAGAGAGAGAGCGGGAGGGGTGGGGGGAGGCAGCTTCACCACGTAGACCCTAACGGTCCCATATGGTCTCTTCGCATCAAAGCCCCGAAACCCTAAACCCTAAACCCTATAACCCTATAACCCTATAACCCTATAACCCTATAACCCTATAACCCTATAACCCTATAACCCTATAACCCTATAACCCTATAACCCTATAACCCTAAACCCTAAACCCTAAACCCTAAACCCCAAGCCATGACGATGCCGAAGGTCGAGGGGGGCAGGGTGAGCCCTTTGAAGCAGCGTCCTCGTCGGCAAGAAGCTGCCGCACTCTCAACCTAGAGCTGCAGGGGCTTCGGGGTTTAGGGTTCACAGGGTTTCAGGGTTTCAGGGTTTCAGGATTTAGGGGCTTTAGGGGCCTTCGGGGCCTTCGCGGCTTTCGGGGCTTCTAGGAGCCTTAGGGGGTGTAGGGGGGTTTAGGGGATTTAGGGCTCCCCAGTGAAGGACTAATGTCCCCTGACCCCAGGGTGCCACACTCTCATCTTGGGCGCCTTTTTGTTAGGGTGCTTGGGTTTAGGGTTTAGGGTTCGGGGTTTAGGGTTTAGGGTTTAGGGTTCATGTGTACTTATAACCCCAATTGTACGTACAAGCCCCCTTCAGTCCCCGAAGTAGGTTACAAGTGACTGATAGCTGGCGTTCTACGTACCCATGAACCTTCAACCGGCCTCTCGTCTTCGAGTGCATTGCGCCTTTTGGGCGGCGCTCACAATGTTGCAATCCCGATGATAGGAACCCCCACACTCAGTTGGTAAAATGGCTCATCCTGATGAACAGACAGAATGTTACACTCCTGTGGACGCTTTGCTTCCAGATGCACCTCGAATCCAGGGTTTATAGGGGCCCCTTTAGGCTTTAGGATGTACTCGAAGATGCAACCGCTTGCACGCTGAACCCTGCAACCACGCAGCGTCTCAACAGCCCCCTCAAACATCTACAAGGCCGGGGCTCATAGTGACTCAGAATGCCAGTTTCCTAACCCCTAAACCCTAAACCCCAAACCATAAACCCTAAAAGAATGTGGAGGGTCCACCCACAAGTCCTATTCCCTGAATCCCCTGTACTCCTCCGGCGTCGAAGCACATGCGCGATCTCATTTCGACAAAGTCTTCCTCCAAGACCTCCGAGGCTTCACGGCAGGACTCAAAGCGTAAGAGCTTCACTACATGACACCCACACCTAAAAAAACAACCTTAATCAAACTGGCTTAGCCCTCAACCCTGAACCCTAAACCCCAAACCCGAACTAAGCCACACACACACACTCTCTCTCTCTCTCTCTCTCTCTCTCTCTCTCTCTCCCTCTCTCTCCTTAGGGGCTGAATACCCTAGCCCGAAAAAGGGTGAACCTTTAGCACATCGTAGGGTTCTTTCTCCAAAACGGTTTAAAGGTTACCTACCCAGCCCCTAAGTCTCTCTCTCTCTCTCTCTCTCTTTCAGAGTGAGAGCTCGCAAGGCTCGGCCTCGATAAGTGTAGCTTCCTATTCCGATTTGCCGTTAGGCAAGGTCTAAGGTTTAGGGTTTAGGGTTTAGGGTTTAGGGTCTAGGGTCTAGGGTCTAGGGTTTAGGGTTCAGGGTTTAGGGTTTAGGGTTTAGGGTTTAGGGGATAAGGTTTATCGTTAAAGTAGGGTTTGGGAGTTGAAGGTTTAGCATGTGAGGCTGAGGGTTTGGGGTTTGTCTGCTTCTGATGGTCTGACTATGGCTGTCTGTGGGTGTCCCTGCAATGCGCTTAGAGTGTTGGGCAAACTGCTTCGCAGCCATGTGTTAGACCCTGGATAGGTAATTTCGGCAAAAGATCGGGCAGTCGCACAAGTATGGCTTTTTTGTCCCTGGAGCTGCCATATGTAGCCTACATTGCCATAGTGCCGTCGCAGCAACACACCGCGCCTACTTCTGAGGGCGGCGCGAAAACAAACTGACAAACAACAAAACTGGTTTATGGTTTGAGGCTTAAAGCTTAGCCGCTATTGAACCAACAAATTGGGCCATGGGGTGGGCCACCAACCGCCTGTGGTGCTTATGGTCCAAAGTTGGCATCTTCTCTCTCTCCGAGAGCTACTTCTTGCGCTTCTTGCTAAATTTCGTATCAACATAACTGAGGGGGCAGAACTCATCGTAGCTCATCTCAGTAAAAGGATACGCATCGGCCCCGCATGCCATCATGAAAACGCGGAAAGCAGCCCGGCCAGTGAGGGATGATCCTCGAGGCTTCTGACCAAAGACTGCGGCCACAAGCTTTTGCACCTCATTGGCGGAGGCCAGCGAATACGTGCAGTCACGAGTCTGCTCATCACAGTCCATGCCAAAGAGAACAAAGTCGTCCGAGGTGCCCTCAAGGTCTTCTGCAACCTGAAAGGTGCCGGTTTCTGGATCGAATGCAGAGACCTGGGCCTTGATATCGGCAAACTCCTCATAGGAATATGCACGAGCACGAGAGTGATGCTCATGCTCCAGATCCACAAACCTGGCAGAGTTGCCAACAGCACTGAAGATGCGGACACTCACCGTGCATGTGCGCGGCTGGCCGTCACCCTCGTCAACGACGTTGCCTTCATTGATGTAGAGCCCCTGGGCTGCTGCTTTTGCTTTGGGTGCGGAGAATCCAGCCTCTTTCAAGGCCTTCGCATAATCCTGCCGCAAGGTCTTTAGCATTTTCCGACGGAATCGCGTCGACTCGAAGTAGTCCTCGTCGTTCTCGCCCAAATCCGACAAATCCTCCTCAGCTTCTTCCTCCTCCTCAAAGTCCGCTTGCACGCGCGATTCAGCTTCTTGACGCAATTCGTACCAGGCCCTCCACTCCTCCTCCAGCACCGAAGAATCCCAGCATCCGGTCTTTGTTATGTCCAGGCGGAACTCCTTCACCGCTTTCCTTGTGAAGCTGTTGGCTGGAAGGTCACAAAACCTCCTGCCTTTCTGTTGATCTTGTCTCTTGCGAAAGCTTGCCACAAGTTCGCGTTTCTTCTGCACAGCCTCAGAGATCCTGTGCAACTGGGCAAGGTACGTTCTGAGCTCTTCCAAACAAACCTTGCCTTCACAGGGTCCTCTCCGACCCTCCGAATCCTCACCATCTTCGCAGTCTTCACCGTCCTCCCAGCCTCCTTCGAAGTAGAGGTTCATCTTCAAAGTCCTGGGGGCAATGCCAAGCAATTCAAGCCCAAGGGCTTGGTGGGATCCTGCAGGGGCCGGCGCTGCCGCTTTGGGGTCAACCTCTTCGAAAGTCATCGTGCCGTCCTTGCGTTGGGACTTCTGTGCAAAAGCACGCAGGGGGCTTTTGAAGCTGATCGTCAGCATGTGCTGCGCTTCATCCGCAACAACATCCTCAATCTCAAGGGCCGCTGAAGCAAGCTCGCCTTTGGAGCGGGTCTGGTCCAGACCCGGGATGCTCCGCGGCATCTGGTCATCTTCACTGTCATCATCATCAGCATCGAAGTCACCATACTCATCAGAGAAGCAATCCCCTTCATGATCGAAATCATCATACAGGAAAGAGAGGACGCGAGGAGCGGAGATCTCGTCAAGCAGCATGCCGAACTCCATCTTGCTCCGTTTCCTCTTGTTTTTGACATGCTTCTTGCCAACGATCTTCTGGTAATCTGTTCTTGTAACAACTACTCCAACAACTCCAGAAAGCTTCCGAATCACAAACTCCAGGTTTGTGTGGAGTTGCTTCCTCGTGACCGTCTCGGCGAAGCTCCGCTTCTGCCCAATGAAGCTTCGCCCAATGAACTCCATGATCGAATGGCACTCCGACCCCAAACCCCACAGAGGGTTTGGCACGGTCACATCCGGGGAGGACGGATCCTCCCCTGCATTGATGGTGATGGTGTGGCACAGCCCGCCACCGGCGAACTCCACCTTCTTCACTCGGAACACCAGCCGACATTCTTCGTCGAACTCAGGATCATCTTCGAAGCGCTTCTCTAGAGCCCTGGGGCCCTTCTTCACAGCAGTGACATACTCTTCAAGGTCCTCTAACATGAGTGGTATGGCAAGGCACGACCGTTCGCCTGCCGCAGGCTATCTTACTTTGCAATTTCTTCTGGTTGTCCTAACTTAGGTACATACAACCCTAATCAGTGGGCTGCCTGCCCATGAACCTTCAAGTGTGATCGAGCGACTTCTCAGTTTGTCTTTTTCGGCTTGTCTCCTTGAGACAATTCCCTCTGAAATTAAGTTTTGTCAACTCCATTTTGTGCATGCTTACCATGGGGCATTCCCGCTTGAGCTTCATCAGAAAGCATCAGAACAAGGCCATGCTCGCCAGAACATGGTAGGTTTGGACCTGGTTGCTACTTCCAAGCTCAAACTCAAATCTCCAAAGGTGTCAACACCCGTTGACTTGCTACCTGAACAAACCCTAAGCCCTAAGCCCTAAGCCCTAAGCCCTAAACCCTCAGCCCACCAATCTTCAAAACCCTAAACCCTAAACCCTAAACCCTAAACCCTAAGCCCTAAACCCTAAACCCTAAACCCTCAACCCCAGAAGCACAAGTACCTCAGGTTGGCCACTGGGCCCAGGGGCTCCATCTGCACCTGCCAGGGCGATGAGCCCAAACCCCCCCTGCCTCCTTTAGGGTTGGGTTTAGGGTTTAGGGTTTAGGGTTTAGGGTTTAGGGTTTAGGGTTTAGGGTTTAGGGTTTAGGGTGTAGAGTGTAGGGTTTAGGGAAACCCCCCCCCCCCCCCGTGCCTCCTCTGATTTACGGTTTTAGAGTAATTAAAGGTTAGGATTTAGGGTTTAGGATTAGGGTTTAGGATTTAGGGTTTAGGATTTCAGGGTTTAGGATTCAGGGTTTAGGATTCAGGGTTTAGGATTTCGGGTCTAGGATTTAGGGTTTGGGGTGTAACTTAGGGTTAGGGGGGTCAGGGGCTTGGGGGTTCTGGCTGGGGCCTAAGGGGTTTCAGGGTTTTTGTGATGGGGTCACCCCGAAACCCTAGACCCTCAAAAACCCTAAACCCGAAACACCCAACCCCCGACAACCCCACAACCTTTCAACCCGAAAACCTCGAAACCCTAAATCCTAAATGCCTCCCTCAACCCTAAATCCTAAACCCTAAATCCTAAACTCGAAACCCCAAACTCTAAACCCTAAACCCTAAACCCCGTTGAGAGGCACAGCCAAACACATTCCCGGCACCTTTGCTGTCGCTGCTTTCGCCTGCCTCTGCACCTTACCAAGGGGGGCTTTCGGGTAGGGTTTAGGGTTTAGGGTTTAGGGTTTAGGGTTTAGGGTTTAGGGTTTAGGGTTTAGGGTTTAGGGTTTAGGGTTTAGGGTTTAGGGTTTAGGGTTTAGGGTTTAGGGTTTAGGGTTTAGGGTTTAGGGTTTAGGGTTTAGGGTGGGTAGGGTTTAGGGTTTAGGGTTTAGGGTTTAGGGTTTAGGGTTTAGGGTTTAGGGTTTAGGGTTTAGGGTTTAGGGTTTAGGGTTTAGGGTTTAGGGTGGTTCAGGGGCACTTATAAACCCAACTATAACTGCACGTATAAGCCTCTCTGCCCCCTAAGCAGGTTGCAAGTAGACTTATAAGTACCGGGGTTTTCGGGACTCAGGATTTTGGGGTCTGCGGTTCAGGAAGTTCGCACTTTGCAGTCTGGGGTTTAGGGTTGTACTTGGGGGGATGCTCCAGGGCTTCTCCTCTTTCGGACTTAGGGTTGCTTGGGATTTGAACCCTAAACCCTAAACCCGGAACCCTAAACTCTTAAGAGCCCACCAAAAATGGAAGATATTCTTCTTCCTGACAAAGGAAATGTTCTTTTAGTCTTGAGGGGCTCCTAAGCAGGGAACCCTGAACCCTGAACCCTGAACCCTAAACCCTAAACCCTAAGCCCTAAACCCTAGACCCTAAACCCTAAACCCTAAACCCCAAACCCTAAACCCTAAACCCGAAGCCTGGGAGTATTCTCGGGGCCGCTGCCGAGGTCTGCATGTGGCGCATCCGGCACGGCCGGCGCTTCGTGGATCAGGGGCGCCTCGAATCATGCTTGCGGTTTAGGGTTTAGGGTTTAGGGTTTAGGGTTTAGGGTTTAGGGTTCAGGGTTCAGGGTTTAGGGTTTAGGGTTTAGGGTTGAGGGTTGGCATTTGGGGTTGGGGACTTGGGTTTATGGGGTTGGGGGTTGGTGATTTGGGGTTTATGGTGTTGAGGGTTGGGGGTTTGGGGCTCATTGGGGCTTATACGGTTGAGGTGTTGGGGTTTTGGGGTTGAGGATGCCATTTGAGGCTTCTGGACTTCACACAAAGCTCGGCGAAGCAAGCGCCGTCCCTTCCACAAGGATGTGGACCGGGCCTCTCCACCAAGGGCGGCTTAACCCTGAACCCTAAACCCTAATCCCAAAAACCCAAAACCCAAACCCAGGATTCTTAAAGGGACCGCTACCGACCCCCAAAACCATGAACTCGACAGTTTGCTGCATCGCGCCTCCTCCTCCTCCTCACCAGCTGGCGTGTCGGCGTTCACCTCCTGGGGGTCTGCCTGCAGCTTTCCCAGGTAGTGCGGAGGCCACGCCTAAGCCCAAGCCCCCCTAGAACCCTAGCCTAAGCCCCCAAACATCCCCAAACGCTCAACCCTCAACCCTCTAAACCCTAAACCCCTTTAACAACCGCCCCCCCCCCCCCCCCCAAAAAAAAAAAAAAAAAAAACGACGCAGGGCCTCGACTGGAGCCGGCGGCTCCACGGCCACCTCCTGCTTCACATCCTGCTGGGTTGAGGGTTTAGGGTTTAGGGTTTGGGGTTTAGGGTTTAGGGTTCAGGGTAGAGGGTTCGGGGTTGAGGGTTGAGGGTGTGGGGTTTGGGGTTCAGGGTTGAGGGTTGAGGGTGTAGGGCGTGGGGTATTTAGGGTTTAGGGTTCGAGGGTTTAGGGTTTAGGTCGAGGAGGTAAGTCATCGGATCCCCCTGCCCCCTTCCGTCCCCAAAAGGGACTTGGGTTGAGGGTCTCGAGTTTAGGGCTTGGATGTAGGGTTTAGGGCCCTCACCCCTCCTAAAACCTCTAAAGCCACTGCACATCTTGAGACTGCACCTCCGCCTCCTCCAGGTCGTCGAAGTCGAACATGTTCCTTTCCAGAGGCGATAGGGCTGAAGGGTTTCAGCGGGGGGAGGTTTAGGATTTGCGCGTTTCGAGGCCCGAAGGAAGGCAAAGACTCCTCACATAGCAGAAGTCAGCTGCGGGGCACCAGGGATGCCATTCAGGTGCTTCACGCAGAACCCCCTGCGGCCCCAAGCCCTTGATACTGGCACTGTTTGCAAAACTCGGATGCCAATGGTAACTCCGAACGGGGCCTAAACCCTCCGCACCGGGCGAGTCAGCCCAGACCCCTGAACACCCACCTACGCCCATAAACCTTCTAAACCTAACCCCCGAAAGCCACTAAACCCTAAACCCTAAACCTCACGAAATGTCCAGGTACCCGAGGCTCCCACTGAAACAGCGACTGGGCGGCTCCAGCAACCCGTCGTGGGACGGAAAAAACAGGGGACGAGGGTTTAGGGTTTAGGGTTTAGGGTTTAGGGTTCAAGGCTTTGAGTGAGTTTTGGTTCAGGGTTTAGAGGCTTGGGGGGTTTGGGGCTTTGTGGGATCTGGAGCTTAGGCTTCTTTCTCTTTTCACGGGGGATTGGGGACTTCGCTGTTGTGGTGTGGAGTGTGGATCTTCCTCCAAGCCTGAAAGACAGCTTCCGGCTGACCAAGACGTGATTTGCATGGCGCACGTGGCACACATAAGCCAACCCTGAGGGGCCTGAGGGGTGGCGGGAGTCCCCCCGCCTCTTCGAGCCCAAACGCTTTCATAGCCCTGGATCCGAAGCATCTTAAACCCTAAACGCTTTTAAACCCTAGACCCTCAACACAACAACCACTAACCTTTGAACCCCCGAAGCTTTTGGAACCCCAAACTTGCCCCCCCCCCCCCCCCCCCCCCCCCGGGGGTTTGGAGTTTAAGTTAAACCCTAAACCCTAAACCTTAAACCCTAAACCCTAGACCCTAAACCCTAAACCCTAAACCCTTTGTAGCGCCGCGCATTTCTTCTCATGCCATCGCTACGGAGGTATGGAAGGAGCACAGGGCGGCACCGTGGAGCCCAGGGCGCCACTGTCAAGGAAGCCACGGGGTTTAAGGTTTAGGGTTTAGGGTTTAGGGTTTAGGGTTTAGGGTTTAGGGTTTAGGGTTTAGGGTTTAGGTTTTAGGGTTTAGGGTTTAGGGTTTAGGGTTTCGGGTTTAGGGTCTAGGGTTCAGGATTTTTAGGGATATGGGGTTTGAGGTTTAGGGTTTCGGGGTTTTGGATTTAGGGTTTGGGGTTTTGGGTTTAGGGTTCAGAAAATTAGGGTCAGGGGTTTAGGGTGCAGGGTTCAGGAAATCTATGGTCAGGGGTTTAGGGTTCAGGAAATCTAAGGTCAGGGATTTGGGGCTTGGGTTTAGGGTTTAGGGTTCAGCTGGGTTTGGGGCTTTACCGGGTTTCGTCTTTAGGGTTCAGGAAATTTAAGGTCTGGGTTTGGGGTTTAGGGTTTCGAGTTCAGGGATTCAGGAAATTTAGGGTCTGGGGTTCGGGGTTTAGGCTTTAGGGTTCAGGAAATTTAGGGTCTAGATTTGGGGTTTGGGGTCTAGGGTTATGGTTTAGGGTTCAGGACATTTATGGTCAGGGGTTTAGGATTCAGGCTTTAGGGTTCAGGAAATTTGGGTCAGGGGTCGGGGGTTTGGGGTTTGGGATTTAGAGTTCAAGGGTTCAGGAAATTTAGGGTCTGGGGCTTCATCCCGGGGCCTATCTGGTTAGATTCGGGGGTAGCTTGGATCGAGCTGACAAGGGCTGATGATGTCAGTATTTATTTGTTCTATATGGAACAATCATGGGCTGTTATTTGCTTTATTTCGGGCAAGAACATTGGCGTGTTGATGTTGTAGATGCTCCTGTCTTAGGGCTCAGGGTACGCCCAATTATAACCATATCAGGGTAATTCAGGGGGCTGAGAAGTGGGTTATACAGCTATAGTTGGTTTTTAA